AAACTAATAAATTAAGTATAATATGTAAAAAAATAAAAAACATAACTTTATAAGTAGAAGTAAAGACATTCTTTTGGTATTGAAATTTAGTTTATATATGATTACACTTTAGATTTGATATTTATTTAATCTTATTAACCATCTTATAATCATTATTAGAAAGAAAATGAAAAGTCATGGGAGTTTCAAATGAATGTGGTGAAAGAAAAAATGTTTCATTTATAATATAGTATGACTAGTCGTATCCCCGCACGTTGCGCGTGAATATAATTATTTAATTAAAATAATAAAATTTAACAAATTCTGATTTAATATTTATACATGTAAAACCAATGTCAATAGCAAAACAAACTCTATAGTTAATATATTAGTTTTATTAATTTTAATAAATTTATATCATTAGTTATTTCCCCTGTTAATTCATGATTTTATAGATGTTTTATGTTGTGTAAATTATATATCAAACATATATTGATTCCTATATATAAAAAAACAAAGTTGTATGAAAAAAAAAATACTACAACTTTTGATGATTTTATAGAACATTTTAAGTTGTGGAAATTATATATAAAACGTATGTCGTTTGTATATAAAACAAATAACAAATAGTATGAAAAAACTATAGCTTTTTAATAAAATAAAAACACTACAACATTATAACATTTACATCAAACAAAACTTATTAAACATTTTTAAATCATTCAAAATGAATATTTAGAAATCAACATACATTTGATATATAGAAACATTGTTATAAAAACATTATGTTGAAATAACCATTGATACGACAAAACTTTTTTTTTTTCAACTCTTTCATTTTGAATCATAAATCTTTTCAAACATATGATTTTTAATCAAAACATACTTATATATTACTAATATAGTTACAATGTGTATAATGAATAAGTGAAAAATAAAAAAACATTGCACATCAATAACCATAAGTTTAAAAAACTTTTGAATGTAGTGGAAAATATAAAGACAAATTACACTAAATTTGAAATCATAATTACATTTAAATAAAAAAAACTATTGAGTTGTAATGAGAGTTTTAAACTCTTGATTTGTGTCTAATAATGTAATATAAATATTAACAATTATATACTATAAAAACAATATTATAAGTATTTATCATTGAAATAATAATTTTTATACTGAGTTGTAACTAATATTATAATAATTTTAAGTATACGATAAGAAAGATATAAAAAAATTATGTTTAAATCAAATTGAATTGAGTTTTGGATTTAAAATTATTTTAAACTATAA